AAGTGTGGAGATAGGTTGTGTAAAAGGAAGGGAAAATAAAAAAGAGTGCATAAATCTTATTGAAGCAGTTTCTCTTGTCACTCTGTTTGCACACAATTTTTGAACCTCTTACCCTTCAGGTGGTTTAGATTTTACATTGTTATGAAGATAGACTTCATGTCTACATTAGTGATGTGGTAGTAAAAGGAAGTCATAGAAAAAATGTACAGGTCAACAAGTGAATACATTCATAGATTTTACATTGAAAATAATTAACAAAAATATTTCATGCAAAGTCCTTTTAAAAAATTTACCTACCTACGAACGCCAAAGCTCAGGGTCTTGATTCTTTCTTCAGCAGCCATTGCTGCTTTGAGAAACCAAAGGCAGGGCAGAGACCAATACCTCTGCTCTGGGTTTGGTCTTTATTGTCAAACAATGCAGTAGAATAAGTGGAAGATTTTAAAAAAATCAGAAATTTGGCAACAACATTTTATGTTTATGCTGTCTTACAGTACAAAGAAAACCACACATGTTTAGCTTTTAAAAGTGTTCTGTGGTAACTATTTTTAACTTAAAATTGAAATCCTAGAAATATCATCCAAAAAACCATAATTAGGATTCTTAGAAAATAATTGTACAAAATTGGAAAACAAAAGAAAATAAAGTTTTTCCCTAAAAATACAATTTTTAGAGAAGCATAAAATATATTCTAATAGCAATTGTTAATTAATATGACATGACTAAGGTATAACTAACACTAAATACTTGAATACAAATGCTATTTCTAAATAACTTAGGACACTGTATGTTTTTGTTAGATGTTAGTTTTATATTCATGCATGGTGAGGGACTTATGTGACTTTTGGTCATCATACCAAAAAAATGATCTAATTCTTTAGGAAGTGAGATAAGTCTAGAAAATTTTAAATAGTAAACAAGCTCTTGAAGGATTACAACCAATCAAAAAATCATAATGGCTCTTGTTTTTAACAGTCCTTATTCACTTTGAGGGAAAGATCTATTTAAAATGTGGAGGGATTTTATAGCTCTGTGTTTTGCTTTCAGGCACTGTTCTTGGAAAAAAAAGGCAGGTGAATCACTCAGGATGTTTCCAGTGGTTTTTCAGGCATCTTGAAAAGCACAGAATCATCCCTTATAAAAAGCCCTATGCATATTACAAATGTCCACAAACCATGCTGAATTTGAAAAAGTTCATAATTTATGATATTTTAATAGATACCCAAGATAACAGTTACTGTACAGATATTCTCCACATATGTGAACCTGGGAGAATCCAATTCTGAGGTGGGTAACTAAAAATTCCCATAACTCTGGTTTTAGCTTGGGCATATATCTCGTTGTTTAGCTACCTAACTAGCTACCTTGTATTTTTGGATAGAACACTGAACAAAATATGAGCATTATTTAAAATCCAGTGGTAAGGGAACACACGAACAAGCAAATTCCATGGAGCTCTAGACCTGGAAAGAGAACGCGTCTGCCCTGGTCTGGTGCGATTACTAACCAGCCTCCGAATGTCCCGCTCTGACTCCCACTTGATCTTCGAGATGGCTTCTTGGTGAGACTGATGCTCGCTCCTAAGGTCCCCAGCCTTGATTTTATCTGCTTGGATCATATTGCTCAGTGCCTCGTCCACTTGCTTCTTGGCCGTTTTTAGGTCCGTAATTTCCTGTAGCAGCTTAAGCCGCTCTGCATCAAACAGTTTCCGGGCCTCCTCCCGGGCCTCAATGGTAAGCGCTGTCCTTACTTTGTCGCTGCTGCCATCCCGGAGGGCACAAAGAGCAGACTTGAGCCTCTGAATCTCTCCGTCCCGCACCTTCACTGTCCTTGACATTTCCTGCTCGTGCTGCTTGATGAGATTCTCCCGCACGGCCTGCAGCTCCTTCATCTTCTCCTCATGGAGCTTGGCTTTGAGCTCTGTCACCAGCACCGTGTGCTTGCGCTGCTCCAGCTCACGAATTCTCTTTGCTTCTTGAGTCTTCTCTCTTTCAAGCTTGGATACCTAAACGCAGAGAAGAAAAAAGATAAAAGAGATGAGCCTCAAAGAGAAGGTGTGCTCCCAGGCAGGATCTGCAGTTTAGGCTGCTGTGATCGCTTAATTCCTCATTTCTTTTCAAATTCCAGCCACTATGAGCTCAGAGGGCGGGGAACCACAGTATTCAAACCTAGGAATACACTTACAACTATTTATATGACTTTGTTCCGACACATATTTCATGTTCTGGGCCTTACTATTCGGTGTGTGGTCTACAGACAAGCTCAGTAGCAACTAGGCTCTTGGGCTCCATCCCAGACTTCCTGAAACTGGGGGAGAGGGGAAGTGTTGGTGTAATGGGCTTCTCCCTGGTATACAAGCATTCAATGCAAAACACATGGAGAGGTTCTTAGACCAAACAACCTTAGCCAGATCCGAAATGACAAATGTGGCCATCTCTGGATAGCTCAAAGTTTGATAGTGTGATTAGGCCAGTAAACTGGTACCTAAAGCAACATTACAAAATCTCTCTCTCCCTTCCGTTTTCTTTTGGAAGAGAATCTACTGCTACTAATGAGACTGTGAAAAATAAAGATACTTCAACTTACCTTTTTTGGTGCGGCAACCCAGTTCCATTCCCAAATTTCCAGGGATGTCTCTCTGCATCTGCTCTATTCTTACTCCTACCACTCTAATTTGCCCTGCCCCTCTAGCCACTTTTCTAAGAATTTTAATAAACTGTTACTTCTAACCACGTTACCTTTCAAGAATTCTGGTTAAGAATACAATCTTGTTTTTGGTTGTATTTCCAGGGATAGGTCTCAGTTTAGGTTAACAATTGTGCTTTCTCAGTCTGGCTGGTCAGTCTGGGCCAGTAGCTCTGGGTGGAGTTTTGACATTAGGAGCTTGGCAAAGCTTCTCTGGGTCTTGTTGTGCATCCTCTTTCTGCCACTTCAGGCTCTGTCGTTGTTTTCTCTCCCTATGTTTCTTTCTGTCATAACACACATACATACCCACATCCTCACTACTTAAAATAACTTGGAAAAGGAGAAGAAACTTTAAGATCCCCAAGAGCATTGTCTAGTTCTATTGAATCTGTTCCTTGTTGAACTGGAAGATTTCACAAAAGATTAGTTAAGAGCCTTTTGAGGTAAAAAAATTAATACTCAAAGCCCATATTGAAATCATTACAATTGTAATGTGAACTGTTTGAGATTTTACTTCAAGACTTTATCTACTCTTAGCTATTGCAGCATTTTCTAAGTCCTCATAGAATTTTATGAGTATTTTATTTTAAAAGCTACAATGAGGGCTGGAGATATAGCTCAGTGACACAGTACCTGCCTGGCGAGCATGAGGTCATGAGTTCAATTCCTGGTAACCCCCCCAAAAGCCAGTTACCCTTATAAAGGTTGTTCTTTTATAAAAAAAAAAAACTTTTTATTAATACATGTTTGCAGTATATAATGTTTCCATTCCTTGTGTGGAGCTGGTCCATGGGCACAGGGCAGTTTAATTTCTTCTTCACGCCTTTTTGTTTCCCTCCCTGCCTTCCTCCCTCTTCCTCCAGCTCTTGACTGCCTTCACATTTGAGAAAGATCTATCTCCTTACTTCCTCTTTTCTATTTTTTATTTTGCTCTTTATTAATAATCTGGGTTTCTCATGTATGAGAACTCATGTGATCTTTAAGCTTCTGTGTCTGAATTACTTCACTTAACGTTACGGTCTCAAGGTACGTTCATTTTCCCACAAATGACTCAGGTTGATTCTGAAAAGCTTGAAGCACAAGAGGACTTAGCGTACTAAGCAGCAAGGCATCTTCAATCGGCTGTCCTTTGATTCTCCCCAGCTTCCTAAGTCCCTTCCTGGGGCCCTGTCCTCTCACATGTCCTAATGCTGTGCTGTCTAGCACAGTGGCCACTCGACACACTGAACCCTCTCAATATCCAAGTTTGAACAAGGTTTTCTTTAAGGGTAAAATACACTCTGGATTTTGAAGACTTACTGTGAGATATAGGATGTAAACTTTCCTGTTAATCATTTTTATATTGATTACATGTCAAAGCTTTAATAGTTGTATAAAATAAGTTGAATACACTAAGTTATCACAACTAGTTCTGCTTGTTTTACTTTATAAAGTTGTAGCTAAAAGAACTTAAAAGATCACATTCACAGGTTGCAGTTGTTGCTTACCATATGGTTCTTTGTTCAACATTGCTCTAGAGTTCTGAAGGGGTAATTTACTGAACATAAATTTCCCAGGCTTGCTGGTGATATTCTTTCAGTAAAGCTCTGTTCTCGCTTTATTTATGTGCCTGTTCAAAAATCACCCCAGGACCCTTCATTCTGTAGAATAAAATCCCTCACCTGAGCCTTGCCTCTCAGATTTTCATGAAAGCTGGATAGACTTTGGCTCCTCCTACCTTCCTCCCTCTGCTCCCCTGACCCTGCTCAGAGCCCAGGACATCGGGCTATTTACTGGAAGTGGCACATCTCTGGTCCTGTGCTTACGGTTTCCTCTCCCTGTTCTGCCCTTCCCTCTGCTCCTTTGTGATGCTCTTTATCCTCGGGGCCCAGCTCGATGTCATCCTTGCCTGATATGCAACCCTGATTGTCCAGGACAAAGCTCCTTCTCTTGCCTTTGTTTCTCAGTGCTTCCTTACTGGCCTGTTCCATTCTTTTCTATCTGTTCTGATTTTTACATGCTTGGTTATCCTGAACTACCTTCTCTCCTCCTGAAACTCTTAGAAGGCTGCCACTGAATACCCTTGGGTTCTCAGTACAGCATACAGGAAGCAGCCAGAAGGCAAATGCTCATTAAAAGAGAAGGACCAGCATGTTTCACTGGGTAACTTCCTAACCAGAGGCAAGAATTCTTTATGTCATACAATCAGAGAATGCAGTCTTGTACAGTTACAAGAGCGCCCCATCCATTCCTTCTCTACAGGACACTATAACAAGACAAAACGCCAAACATAAAGTCCACCTTTTGCTTGATGTTTCTTTTAGTGCTGCAGTAGGGAGACCCTAGATCATATTCCCTATCTTTCTATAGTGAATCAGAAAAGATATTTTCTAGACCAGGGTGGGCATACTACAAACCATGAGTTAAATTTATCCTACTCCTTGCTTTTATACATAAACTTTTATTGAAACCACAACCATACCCATTCATTTATGTATCATTTAAATCTGCTTTCAATCTATAGTCAAGCTGAGTATATTATTTAGCCCACAAAACCTAAAATATTTACCAGCTTTTCTTCTATAGGAAAAGCTTATTGATTCCTGTTCTAGATAACACAAGTTTTAGAGGAAGGGCCTTATTTTTCACTTCGTTTTTATTTTTATTTTCTTGCTGATTAAAAAAGCTCAGTTTATCTTCTACATAAAACACTGGGAAGGTAACTTGCACAAGTGATAGGAATTTAGTGTTTTTTGATCTTGGCAGGAGGTAATAATATTAGGTATTTAGATCAGTGGTCAGTGCTGCCGGAGTGTTGGTGAATAAGTTACTAGAGAAAATTTTAGAAAAGTATCACTACAATAATGGAAAACTGTAATAAAATTGGACAAAGGATAAGAAATTCTAGATTTTCTTTTGCTGTGTTACTGTTGTAAATGCTATTGGTGAACAAGTTACTAAAGAAAATTTTAGCAAGCTTTCCCATTATGAAAAAACAAAGTGGACAAAGAGTAAGAATGGATTTGCTTTTTCTATTTCAATATCTGCTTCCCCTAGGAAAGTTGATTGAGAAATACTTGCTATTGGTATTTCAAAGATTAAAGTAGATAATGCATGGAAAAATAGCTTGTGCTATAAAAGTACTATTATATGTATGGCAATATTAGATAGAATAGGAGATCTTTAAAATTATGTCAAATTCTCCATAAGATGTGATTGTATCTCCCTGCAAATCTATCATTTCTCTCAAACTATAAACACTAGTTTTTTTGTGTAGATAGACATAAAGGGAAATCTGCAAAAGTTTTAGAAGTGAAAATAAAGTTGCATAGAAAATACCAATCAGACCCACATGTGTAAACATCCTATTGTCTCCCTAGTGTAAGAATCCAAAAGAGTAAATAAACCCCCAAATATACAATAGATATTATGAAATGGAAAGAAATTGCTAAAAAGGAACAACTGGGATGAGGTAAAGGAGAAAATCAAGAAAGAAGGGAAAGTACAGATAGATATAGATATACAGAAACAGATACAGATATAGATATATGTATATGGAAGGATAGCTGGGAAAATTGTACTGCTCATGTGTAATGGTTTATTGAAAGGAATACTTCATGCTTAACTCTTTTGACCAATTTTGCACACTTATATCTGGTAATCTGAACAACTAATTTGAAGACAACAATATGCAATATAACAACCATTGATGAATTCTTACCATCTTGTTCAGTGAAGCTCTGTATCATTTCTAATTTTTTTATTATTGTTATTGTCTTTAATAATTTGATCAATCTTGCATTCTTGCATCTGGTAATCTGTGCAACTTCATTGAAGATAACAATACATAACAACCACTGTTAATTCCTATCATTTTATTTTGAAACTGTGTGTCATTTTTATTGCTTTTGCTTTGTTTTGTTTTTGTCTATGTTGTTGTTATTTTGGTATTGTTTTTTATTCTCTTTAAAATTAAGAAAAAAGAAAATATATTCCAGCCCAAAGATAAAAAACAAATATAAACCAACACTGTCTTCTTCTACATTACTTAAGGGAATCTATAAAAATTAACAAAATTCAAAAGAATCGAGCAATGTTTCACATTTCTTGTGTCCACTTATTTTAGCTGTCATTGAGACTGGCAATTTTTGTAGAATTTATAGGCATGGCTTTTTTTTTCTTTAACTTGGGAAATAGGTTTCCCAGTGAAGAAATCCTAAAGGATGTAACTGAAATGTGGTGAGAAGGAGCCTTAAAATTTTTGTAGTAAGTATTTGCAACATAAATGAACCAATAAAGAAATATATTGAAATATTTTAATGTAAATCTTGAGATTAATAT